ACCATTATCCACAAGAACTGAGACACACATATGGACATAATGTGCCTGCCCAAGCAAGGACACACCCATAGTCACCCACAGTCACCCAGGCAACCCGACACACATACACACAGATGGTACAAGACCTATACAGATGCTGACATCAGGTCATAGTAACCTTGACAGACACACACATAACACAGCTGCACATGCTGACACATGGTTGCCCATGATAAAACTGACCCTCCTAGACACCCATTATGACACTGTCACCAACAAACAGATATGAGCCCTCCAATAGTACTTACACCCATAGTCACTGACACTAACACTTGATAATACACCTGGAACCTACAATAATACCAACACACAGACAGATACAATAACACATGCACAACGACACACACAGACCCACGGGAAAAAGACACAGGCACACACAGAAATCCACAGTCACACTGATGGCCATAAACCTAACACTTGTTTATTGAGCATCTGTTATGTACCAGGCACCATTCTAGTACTGGGGATAAAAGATATCAAAATCCCTGCCCTCCTGGAACTGACATTTTAGTGAACGGGGTTAAGGGGCACCATAATCGGATGACACAGACTACAGTCACCCATAATAACACTGACAGATGCCAGACACCCACATACACTGGCTCACACATTGTCCTGCAATTACCCACAATTAGCCCTGACACCCCCCCCACAGTCACACTGACATCCACACACAAACAAGCCCACAGGAGTTCTGACACATGAGCCGACACAAACACACAATAGGCATAGAGACAGGCTCCCACTATTGTACATACCCACCTGGGTTTACAGACATCACCCCCCTACCCCCCCAGCCTACCTGAGTAGCTTGGATCTCAAGCCCACAACAGCCCACCAATAACAGGCCCATAGGCAGCTGCTGCCTGCATTTTGCAGAGTTCACCCTGACCCAGACCCAGGGTCGCCCTGCACCATGAGCCTCAGTAGAAGTGTCTAAATATCCCATCAACTGGCACCAGGCCCCTTCACAGTCCCCAACCCTAACTCTGAAGCTGGAGCCGTCTTGCCTTCTCTATCCCTGGCCCCACATAATTGGTGGGCTTGGGAAGGAAGTCAGGCTCCAAGCCCTCTGACCACCTCCCGGTCTGAGTGGGACAGATGAGCCCCTTGTCTGTCCCTATGTGAAAAGTCCTGAGCAGACAGAGGAAGGGGGGCACTGTCATGAGGAGGGCGGAGCAGGAACCTGAGAAGTCACACAGGTATGGGGAAAATGAGGAGCCCCCTACTCGCCATTCTAGACAGCTTGGGCCATCAGCAGGACCCCACTTAGGGAACCCCATGTGTGCTGTTGCCAGACCCCCATAATGAGATCTTTGTCTGCCAGGCCCTGACCACCTCCTCCCCCATGTCCCCTCTAGGTCCATGCACAGGCACTCAAAGACATGCACACTGGGACACACAAGGTCACTCATGCAGGGACACATGCATGGACATATATACAGAGACACACACAGGCTGACAGACACCCCTTGAAGCTCTGAACCTCTGCCCTTGTGCTTGCCTGCTCCCCCATCACTGTGCTGTTCCCCCCATCCTCCCCCTCAACTTGACGGCAGAGCTGCCTCCATCCATCACTCTCTCACCTCTGACTCTGACCCCCAGACTAGCACCAGCTGCCCTGCCTTCCTAGAGCTCAGGATGGGGGTGGGCCCTAGGTCAGTGTGGCTTCTGGAAGGCTCCTTTCACCCCACTCACCCCCAGCCTCCTGCCCAGACGGGACTCTCCCAGCTGGGGTGTGGTGGGGGTGGGTTCCCAGAGATTACTGGGGAAGAAGAGGAATGAAGGCCTTGAAGGGTACCTCCGCCTTGCACTGGGCAGGGGTTGGGGGTGGAAGGAGACAGCTCCAGCCAGCCTGTTGGGCTTCAAAGTCAGATGGAAGCACAATCGGCCCCCCATTAGGCCTCAGGGCACTTGGCGGGAGGAACAATCAGCTCCCCCCTCAAGAGCCCCAAGTCCAGACAGTGAAACGCAGACAGACATGAAGCTGCCCCTCGCCAACGGCCAGCCCCATACCGCGGTGGGGCCTGGCCCACAGACACAGATCAGGTGTAATGGACCAGACACCCACAAGCGGACCCAGACAGCCAGGGACAGGAGCACACGCAGGGTGGGAGACCCACACTAACACATGCCCGCGAGGGGCACAGTCAGACCCAGACAGACACTGAGGGCAAAGGCGGGAAGCCAGCGTAGACCACTGCAGACAAAGGGAGACAGACACCCCCCAGGCAGCCCCGCCCTTCGGCTCGAAGCCCCGCCCACTCCCAGCTCCGCCTTTCTGTCTGCGGGGACCAGACACCCCCAGCCTGTTCTTCCCGTTTTGAGGACAACCCTTGCAGGGACCTCCCTCCTTGATAGGTCAAAGTCAAAGCCCTCAGACAAGCAAGCGGAAAGGAGGTACAGAAAGAAAAGAGGTGTCTCGGGGGTCCCCCAATATGGCCAGAATGCCTCGGACCTGATGACCCCCAACAACAAAGATTTTGAGAGTGGTATACCAAACTCTGAGCCTCACCTTCCTCATGGCTAAAACATCATCCTAATAATAGGATGATGTATGTGAAGAGTTATTTATTATTTAATATTATTACTATCTCTGCCCTCCTAACCCATCCTCCTCCCCGCAGAGTTCTAGGCATTCTTTTCGTTAGGACCACCATCCCGTCCCCAAGACAGGAGACCCCACATTCTCCCTCAGAAGGGCTCGGATGCCTGGCGGGGGTAAAGGGGCCGCCGCCCACCCACCCACGCACCCCAGCGCTGGAGTGGGGCCCTTCTAGCCCTGTGGGTGGGCCGAGGGGGAGGGTGCCCCCCGCCCCCCGAGCTCCCGACAGGAGTGGAGATGTGACTGGACCCCAGCCTGGGGACCAGAGGCCAGGCTTTGGGGAAGGGCTTCACGAGGTGGGAAAATTTCACCGGGGCGTCTTGCAGGGTTCGGGCCGTAGAGAGTGGTTTTGGCGACTCCGTAGGGACGCGGTCTGTGGGGGTCTAGGTAGGCGGGCTTCAGAGGAAGGTTCTAGGGGGCGGGGCTCTGTGACTTTGAGCGCTCCTGGGGCCGGCAAAATATGTGCCAGAAGGGGCAGGCTCAGAGGGCGGGGCCCGGGGGCAGGCCTTAGGGTAGCTGGGCTCTTTGAGGACTCAGTTAGGGGGCGGGTTTTATGGGGGTTGAGTTTGGGGGTGGGCGTCATGGGAGTCTATAAAGGGTGGGTTTTAGAGGGCGGGTCCTAGGGATAGGCAGTTTGTGGGTGGGCTTTAAGAGTGTGGGTCTTGGGGAGGGGCGGGTCTCCGGGCGCAAGCTTGGGTCGTGTCTCAAGGGCAGGGCTTGAAGGGCTTTGCTGGCTCAAGCTGCCTCCGCCAGGGAGTTCAGGCGTTCATTGAACCTTAGCACACACTTGGGGTCCCTGATCCGCCTTAGGGTTACGCCAAGGGGTTCTTTAGGGCTCCATATGCTCCCCTGAGTGAAATGGGAAGGGATTGGAATTTTTTGGTGTGTGTTATGATACCATTTTTTAAATTATTAATTTCAGGTGGGACTGGAAATTTGAAGGACCCTCCCCAGGCTGTCCTCATGGTCCCTAGACCCAGGTGGAGGGAGGCCTCCCCTGAGACTGCGCGTGGGGACACCCTAGGGGCCGGGTGCCCAACCCTTCGCGACCGTATAGGTAGGGACTGGGGGCTTGTTTTACCGGGAGGAAATGGGGAGCGGGCAGTATCTTGCCACAGTCGGAGTCAGAGCAGCGATTTGACTGTTGCCTATTTTGAGGTCCAAAGGTGACCACAGCCTATTGTGAGGTCTGAGGGTGAGCGACCTTGCACCTTCACATCACCAAGGGCCTGAGTTCAGATGCCTTGAGACCTTCAGGAGGGTGGCGGGTCACCCCTCGTCCTCTCGCTTCTCCCTTGACCAATGAGCAAGTGGACCCGCAGGTGGCAGGTGGGGCTGGTGGTGGGGGGGCACTGCAGGCCTTGCATTTGCTAAATGGAGACACAGATGACCCCCAGGGTTGTTGTGATTCATAAACAATCCTGGGGCCAGGGAACACGGTGAAGCTCACAGAAGGTCTACATTGTATTTAAATGACTTGTTTATCTCTGTTGCATTGAAGCCAACCAGGACCTCAGGGCAGCCAAACAACTTGAGGCCACTAAGAGCTGTGCCTTCTGGCTTGTCTCTCAAACTGACAAATGGGTGTCACCTACACTTTGGGCCATTTTGAAGGTGATTTGAGTAAATGCATGAAACAGGAAGCCCCGCATCCAGTACTGCTACATCCATGTAGCAAAGGCTACATAAATATCAACTGTTACTATTATTTATATTACTATAGTGTTTTTCCAGGTCCTGAAGCAGACAGTTGGCACCTGCTAACTGTTTGTTGACTTAATGACTCAATAGGTCCCTCCCTCCCCTCTCCAGTTCCCTGCCTCCCACCCTCTACATTGGGACCTATCCCCACCCCCAAGAAGCTGCCAAGGGCTTGGGGGAACATTCAACCTGTCGGTGAGTTTGGGCAGCTCAGGCAAACCATCGACCGTTGAGTGGACCCTGAGGCCTGGAACTGCCATCCACCCAGCACCCTGAGGCTTGGAACTGCCATCCACCCAGGGCAACCCCCACCTTCCAGATCTAGGTGGGTGGGGCCAGTCCGACCTGTAGGCCATAGCGAAGGTCACAATCAACATTCATTGTTGTCGGTGGGTTGTGAGGACGGAGGCCAGACCCACCGAGGGATGAATGTCACTGTGGCTGGGCCGCACACAGCCTGAGGGGAGTGGGCTGGGGAAAAAGACCCACCATGGATTTTCCCCCCAAATTGCTCAGCCTGTACCTCACCCTGGCCTCTCACCCTTTGGGGAGGGCTGGTGTCTGGGATCCTGATGGAAGCTGGATTTGGGGAAGAAATCCTGGGGGGGAGGGTTGGGCAGCTTTCTGAAAGGGGGTTGTGAGCCCTACTCCTGGAGGGCTCCATGAACCTTTCTTGCAGTAACGAATGGGGTGGGTGGGGGTGGGTAGGCAGCGTAGCCACTCTTCTCTGTGTCTAAGTGTTGGGTCCCGCTTTCTCACCCTCCTTGGCTGGTGCCCGCAGACCCCTGCTTTACCTACAGTTACCCTCCTAGCTAGCACCTTGGTGCCAGCTGATCCCTCCACCTGCATGTCTGTGCCACACCTGGGTGACTCCTGGGCACACTCTACCCTTCTGAGACTGAGCTGAGGTTTCATTGGAGGGAGGGAGGATCAAGGTGCTGGTGAATACTGGGGGTTCCCCATTAGATCAACCTGTACCTCTGCTCTCCCCCACCTCCCCATCTCCCCCCCTCTCCACCCCAGAGCCAGGACTGGCTGCCTTGCCAGCACCTAGCCTTGGGGGCTCCTAGACATGGGTACCTGATGGGAGAGGCAGGCTTTTTTGTTAGTCTTTGTGAATAACACTATGGGCTGATGGCTTCACACCTCAGTTTGTTCATCCATTAAGTAGGGGTTCCGCTGAGAAAATGGGTGTGAAAGTACCCTGGAGACCAGAGTTGGGGGCCTTGGTCCTTGTCCCTCCATCCCATGAACCAGGCACCATCCTCCTTCTAGAGACCTGTGGAACATCAGCGGCTTCTCTCCCTCCCCAAAAAGGCCCAAGGGCATTGGCCCCTCCCCCAGCCCAGGGGCAGGAAGGAAGCAGTTACTAAGTTACCAGTCACAGTAATGTTTATCTTGGGGGCAGGCTTCCAACCCCCCCACCCCCACCCATCCCAAACCCTGTGGGGCAGGGTTGCAGGCCTTCTCCAAGGAAGGGTGGGTGTAGCCCTTCCAGTGCCCTCTGGGTGGGGTGTGTAGCTCCAAACTGTGGGTGCCCCCTGCAGACTATGTTCTGTCACACACACACCCTTGCCCCAACTCAGAGATGCATCTCCTGGCAGGTGCATTTACAGGGAGCAGCAGCAAGCCCCCCTGTGACAATAAGGAGTCTCCCACAGTCTGTTCCTCCCCTTTCACACCCCCTTAGAGGTATAAGGAGGGAACTGACAGCCCAGACTCCTAGGCTCCAGAGAGGGCGGGGAGGGGCAGGGAAGAAGGAGAGAAGGACTACCTTGGGGCAGGCAGGGTTTCTTCTCTCTCTGCCCTTGGCACATGTTGCCTAGCCATGGGGTCCTTCGACCTGTGGACGGATTACCTGGGTTTGGCACGTCTGGTGGGGGCTTCACGTGGGGAAGAAGAGCCTGAGACCAGGCTGGACCCCCAGCCAGAACCAGCGCCAGGACCAGGGGATCAGAGGTCCAGCCAAGAATCCTCACCAGCTCCTGAACGCTTGTGTTCTTTCTGCAAACACAACGGCGAGTCCAGAGCCATCTACCAGTCCCACATGCTCAAGGATGAGGCAGGTCGGGTGTTGTGCCCCATCCTTCGAGACTACGTGTGTCCTCAGTGTGGTGCCACTCGTGATCGCGCCCACACCCGCCGCTTCTGCCCGCTCACCGGCCAAGGCTACACCTCTGTCTACAGCTACACCACCCGCAACTCCGCTGGCAAGAGGCTGGCCCGGCCTGACAAGGCGAGGACACAGGACTCCGGTCACCGCCGAGGAGGAGCAGGAGGAGCCAGTGCAGGTGGCTGGGGAAGTCTGCTGTGGAGGGAGGGGTTCTGCCTCTGTGAAGTGGGATTAGTCCCACTACCCACTTCAGAGGGCTGGGAAGAGAGAATCTGTGTAGAAACCTTAGAACAGATTTCTAGAAGTGTTGCCCAATGGGGGTAAACTGGGGCTTGAGTTTGGTATGTGGCCTTTGGCAAGGGACTCTCCCTCTCTGAAATGCTGTCCTTTTCTGGACACAGGTGATGTGGCGGGGAGGCCATGGGGACTAGCGGTGGGATCTGTGGACAGGTACAGCAGGGGCTCGGCACTGCTTGGCACCAAGACGCTGTGTGGCCTGAGAAAAGTTGCTCAGACTCTCTGAACTCTAGCTTTCTCATTTCTTCACTCATTTACCCAATAGTTTGTGTGCCCATTCTGTGCCAAGTGCTGGACTGGGCCAGCAGTGGACAAGGTATATGGGAGAGCAGCTAGTTAAAACACATGGTGATAGGTGCTCAATGGGGGAGTCTAGAGGAAACACCTGATCCAGAGGGGGTCCAGGAGGGCTTTCTGGAGGAAGTGACTTGTGGAAGTCTAAGTCAGTGTGGTGGAGCACTGGAAGTGTGGCCCAAGCACTGGGGCTTATTCAGGAACTTAGGGACGGAGTGTGTGTGCTTGTATAGTGGAGGGTGAGGTGTCAGAGATTTGGGACAGGCCAAGGATCTATAGGGCCTTGTGGGTCACATTAAAGAGTTTGTACTTGGCACTAGGGAGCTTCGGAAGGGACAAGACCAGGTCTGCTTGCAAAGAGTGTGTTAGACTGGGGCTAAGCAGCTGGGTGTGGGATGGATTTGAGGGTGTTGGAAGAACCTGGTTCTCCAGGCAGAGGTGTCCAAGGCAGGCAGGAGGGAATGTCAGGTTGGAGGGAAGCCCCATAAGTTTGTTGTGTGGGGAGCAGCCCAGGAAGGCATTAAGGGCTGCAGCTTAGAAGAGGGCTGCAACTGGCGCCTCCCTGAGGTTTTAAACCCACTTTCCTCACCTGCACAGCCCAACGTGTGGGGTCACCCTGATCTTGCTCATAAAATGTGGATTTCAATTCTGCCGGTCTGGGTGGGTCCTGAGCACCTGCATCTCTTACTGGCTCCCCATGAGGCCGCCATGCTGCCAGGCCACGGACCATGCAGGCTTTGAGTAGCTTGGGCTTAAATGGCAACAGTTACTCTGATAGATGCAAAAGACCTCAGCTCCCGTGGGTTTTTTAAAAAAGATTTTATTGGGGAATTGGGGGGAGGGGAACAGTGCTGGGGAATTGGGGAAGGGGAACAGACAAGTTGCTGTCTTTTCATTCTTCAGTCGAGTTGTGGAGGATGTCGCTTCACTGGCCATCTTGATATTATCATTGCGCTCTTCCCTGGCTGAGGCAGATCGGTCGCCGGCCACTGGACGGCCACTCACGGTAGCTCTTGGCAGCTCACGCCGGCTGCCAGCCACTCATGGTAGCTTTATAGCAGCCCACTGCAGCTTCACTGCAGCCTACACCACCACCGGCGACTCACGGCAGCCCAGCTCCAGGTGGAGCTGTTGTTCACCACCTTAGCTGTAGCGTCACTGGCCCTCATGTGGGATCCAAACCGGGGTCCTGCTGCTCAGAGCTGGTGTCCCAAGCCAACTCTTAACCAACACGTCACGCGGCTGGCCCCTTGGGGTTTGGTTTAAAGGACAAATCCTTTTTAGTGACTTTAAGGGGAAGTCAGCCAAAAGAGGAGGTGGGTCTGATGGGCAGCTGTCATAACCCTTTTGGGTGCCATGGGTGGGTACTGCCTCCCTCATCACATTGTGAGCTCCTTGAGGGATGTAACCCTGTAAGGAGGACTCCTCCCTGCCCGTACCCCGCCCCCCCATCCTTACCCCGCAGTTGCAAAGTGAACATTTGTTAAAGGAGTGAGAGACTGCCTCTAGGAGGAGACAGTATCCCTTTGAAGTTCTGGGGGGCCCGATTTGGAGATGCGGTAAGCTGAGGGGACATAGAGATGATGGTTTCAGAATCTTCCTTTTTAATTCTAAATGAGCAGGAAAACTCACCTCCGAGGGTGTGAAGGGTGAGGGAACCCTCCCTTGGCACTGAAGGGCTGCATGGTGCAGTCCTCCCTAGTAACAGTCAGGGTGTCACAAATCCCGGGTCCCGGGAGCTCTGCGGCCACGAGGGGGCAGCACGGGAAGACCGCAGTTGGGAGTTTCTGTGCTTTGTGTGGGCTCTGGGGTCCCACCTGGGGCCGCTCTGGTCCAGGAATTACTGGGATGCTGTTCCAGACGCAGCCTCCAGATGGAGCCAGAGCTCGGCAGCTCTGCTGGTTGAACTGGTACTTGGGGAACCTGGAATCATCGCCTAATACTGTTTTTCCTCCCCCCATCGCTTTTAAAATCCAGGTTCCAAAGGTGCGGGGAAATCGTCTGGACCTTCGCCTTCGTCCTGCCGCCCGTCCACTTCCTTCTAGGAGGCAGCTGCGGGGAGGAGGGGGTGCTGCCTTCTCCCGGGCCTGGGGACCCTGACTCCGTGGAAGCCGGATTTCGGGGAAGACGCACCCGGCAAGGACCACCCCTGGACACTTCCCCAGGCCTGCGGCTTGAGTGAGGGAGCAGGGTCTGGGAGCACAGCCAGAAGAGCCCCGTGGGGTCCTTGGACACCCCTGCCCACCCTCCTCAGCACTGGGCACCTAGTCAGCGCTCAATAAATGCTATGAATGGACCAGCGTCAGATGAGGCTGGTCTTGGGTCACAGTAGCAGGAACATCTCCGGAGGGGCTGGGGCACTTCTTTTCTCCCGACTGTGTCAGCCACACTTCTTACTCCGACCCCTACTTTCCTGACTGCTGTTCGCCCTGGGGCACTGGGGTGAACTGAGACTGGGAGTGGGCACCACAGGGCAGCTGTAGGACTCTGAGGGGTCATTGCCCCTCTCCTGGCACTTCTGGGCATGACACTCTGCTGCCAGGTTAGCACATTAGGCCCCTTCTGTGATGTTTGGTGTTTTCAAACTCTCAGCCACCCCACACATATTAACATGCCAAATGGGAATCCCCCCATGCTGGGGGTGGATCCCTGATTTGAGGGGGAAAATGGAGAGACAATTACACCACAATGTCCCAGCGACCTGGGCCTTGGAGTCACATGCCAGGAACTTCAGAGCAAGGGAAGGACTTCTAGGGGAGGGCGAAAGGACTGGGGCTCCTGTCCTGTGGGGTTGTCCAGCCCAGGCCTTGGGCCTGGGCACTGTGAAAGCAATTGGGTCTGCTTGGCAAGAGGAGGAAGGAGATGGAGATCCCTCCCCACACAGGGCTTGTGATCCAGTTCTCCTGGGGGGCTATGCTCAGAGAAGCCCCCACCCATCTGCCTCCTCTACTGCCAGAGCTTGTTTCCCTGGCCTTCGGGGGGGCAGCAGGTGGCAAGTGTCCATCCCCACACCTTCCCCAAGCCCAGAGCTGGCCTCTGCCCCCAGCCCACACGGTCTTTCTGGGTTGGGTGGCAGCAGGGTTGGGATTTTGCAGGTCCCCTCTGCCCTTGAACTGGGACCTGAGGCCACCAAGGAGGAGAGCTAGGTATCGGAGCCTGTCCTTGAGGACAGCCTTCTGCCTAGGCTTGGAGGGGAGAAGGGAGGAGAAAGACACAGAGGAGGCCTCCTTAGCAGCCCAAAGGGGCTTCAAGCTGAGTTGGGGACACAATATCGCAGCAACTGCCAGCTGTTACAAACTGCTAATGGCATAAGCGAGAGCCACCAGGGGTTGACCTAGGGAGCAGGACTAACTGGCATATCCTGGTGGTGTCAAGGAAGGAAAGGCAGTGGGGGACCCTGACCTGACTCGCTCTTCTCCCGCATGGGGTCTCCCAGGGTGGAGGAAGGCAGTCGGAGGGGTGCCCTGCCATGGCCCTACAAGTTTGGGTGCTGGGTGCAGGGGCCATAGACAGAATAAAGGGGCGGGTCCAGTCCACATGGTGGTGACCAATCTAACAGAAGCATTGTTTTCCGTGAAATGGATTTGACGGCAGTGCCTGGGGCTGCTTGTGATGCTGCCATGGGGGCTGTGCAACGTCCACCCTGGGTACCAGGTCTGCATCACAACCACCCGCCAGGACTGCCTCCTCCCATGCTGAGACCTCAAAGCAGCTTGTTTCACAGAGGACAGGTGAGGCCACCGAGCACTTGAAAGCAAACTCTCCAGATGGACATCTTGTGGGCTCACCACCCCCAGAAACGGGTGTGTGTGCCTGCATGGGCACACACAGCCATCTGCTCCTGGGGAATCCGACACACTTGTGAACTTGCAAGGACCCTCTGACTTGTGTCCCAGCAGTAGCCCCTTGCCTTCCCAGGGAGGATAAGAAGTGAAAGGGGGAAAGAGGTGATTAAGAAGGTTTGTGGGCAGAACACCAAGGGACCCGAACACTCCAAACCCCAAAACAGCAGGTCCTGGAGCCTTGTTAGAGAATCATTTAATGGTCTTCCCAGAAGAGATAAAATGGAAATGTGGAGAAAGACAAACATAGAAGCAACAAAGGGAGCCCTTTTCTCCTCCAGGAAAGGAATTCTGAACCTGCCGTAACCTCAGTTAAAGAAGCCAAAATTTGCAAACCCAGATAACTATCTGGGTGGCTCTGGGCCCTACTGCTGGAGCTCCAGCCCGCCTCCACCTCCCACCACAGCCTCAGCCTCAGGAGGAACAGGTTCCCTCCCCCATACAGACTCCAGAAGGAGGCTGTTGACTCCAGAGGGGCCTCCAGGGTTTCCCAGGGGAAGCTGACTTCCAGGTTGGCTGAAGGGCAGTTTCCAGGCCCACTAGGACCCGCTGGAGCACCTCGGGGGTAACAAAATACCAGGAGCAACATTGGGGACTGCAAGCTTTTCAGGGTGTACTGAGGGATTGTTGCCAGCTGTTTGGCAGGAACATCAGGCACCTCTGGGGGCCAGGGCTCCAAGGAAAACACGCACATCCATGGGAGGAGTAGGAACCACTCCCCATGGGTCCCCCCCCCCCCGCATCCCTGTTTAGAAGCATCTACAAATCCCTCCAGGATTGTTCCCCATGAGGGCCAGTCCCAGCCCCCTTTGATGTGTAGGGCAGGGGGGCTTTCACCACAGGCTTTGCCTTGCAGTAGCTGAGACGCTTGAAGGCTTCCAGGTCCCGGTGGGCGGTCATGATCAGCCGGCTGCGCAGAAACAGCACTGACTGTGAGCCAGAGCAGGATGCACCTCACATTCACAAGTCACACACACTCTTCACCGACATGCACACATGCACAGTTAGAATCAGCCTGTTACAGAGTAAGTTGTGACCATCCCATCCTCTTCAGAACCTAACAATTCTGCAAAGGATGGGTCTATGACATGATAGGCCAGGGCCCAGGAAAAATGACACTTTCTGGAAGCCCCTTGCTCCTGGGCTCCTGGGGGTGCATCTTTTTTGCTGCCCACTGGATCCCCCCACCCCCAACCTCCCTGGGCCCCATCCCTGCTGTCTGTCCTGCGTGTTCCCTGTGAATCCAAGCCCCAGCCCTTACTTGAGGTTGGAGAGCTCAATGACAAGACCACGAATGGTGCCTGTTGCATCCTCCATCCTTGCGGCTTCATAGGGCTTGATCTTTTCATAGGTACTGGTGAGAAAGGGAGACAAGAGGCCTGACCTCAGCAGACGGCTCTGCCAAACACCATTCTGGGGGACTTTTGCTGGGCCTTGAGCTGTCTGCTTTTTCAGATACTAAGCCACCATGGGCAGAGGCTCTGATGGCCAACCCAGTTGGCTCTACTGTCAAAGGCACACCCAGAGTCCAGCCACCTCTCCCCACTGCAGCTGCCCTCAGCTGGACTATTGCCACAGGCTCCCTGGCCCCCCACCTCTTGCTCCTAGAGCTTGTCTCCCATGTAGCATGGCGGGGGGCAGAGGGTAGGTGGGGCAGGTGTGTGTGAAAATGAAAAACTAGCCCACTGCACCATCTTCCAGGTACCCAGACCCCATCCCCTCCCTCTTGTTCCCTGTCTCCCCTGCTCCAGATATACTTAATTCCTTGCCTTTCCCTAAGCACCTCTTAGGGCTCTGGAATGTTCTTTCCCAAATGTCTCCTCCTTGGGAGTGTAGAGGGAATGGGATTTTCCTGATCACTGAATTAAAATTTTAACCCCTTCCCCCACTGTCTTTTTCTCCCTAACACTGGGCCATCGACCTAATTTGCTTGTCTCTTTCTCACCCCGCCTGCCCCACCCAACACACACTAGATCAAAGCTTCATGTTTTGTCCTGTCCCACAGTGCCCAGAGTAGTTCCTGGAAGAGCTGGCACTGCATGGTGTTAACATCTCTGGGAGGGGTGGCTGTGACGCAGCACCCACTGTATCTAATGTGTGCGGCCTGCGAGTGCTGGCAGAGGGTGGCCCTCCTGGCCTCCCATCAACAGCTCTCCCCAAAGCCGACCACACCCTGGGCTTAGGAGCACCTCCTGGGCTGTCACTACAGAATCTCTGGTTCTGGTCCACCTGCCTCGGTCACCCTGAGATGGCTGGCTGGCTCAGGCCTTAGCCTCTCTTGTGCATGTCACTTAGTCATGGGTTACCAGCCCCAGGACCTGCCCTGGGGCTTCCAAATGTCCACGTGGGGTCATATTGGCCCAGTGAGGCCATCGGAGATTGAGACATGAATCTCCCTTCTCTTTGCTCAAACAATAGTAGGACCACTTTGACTCAACTGCCTCTGGTTCCAGCGCAGGGTTGTGTGCGTGTGTGTGCGTGTATGTGTACAAGTGGTATATCAGATACTAGTGACAGTGTGTGCAACAGCAGGAGGCAAAAAACGCCCCACCTTCTACCTCAAGGAAGGGGATGAGGAGGAGGAAGAGAGAAACTAGGCTAAGGGCTGCACCCCTAGTCCCTCCTCCACACTTGTCAGACAAAAACAGAAACTTGGTCATAAATAATTGATAAGCTGCTGCCTCTGCAGAAGCCAGTTCAAGTACGAGGTAACAGGAGAGGATGGTCACCCAGTGCTTGACCTGGCAGGGCTGGGAGAAAGGACAAGGAGGTGACGGAATGTGAAAGGTTCTAGGGAGAGGGGACAGGATACCCCCAGCACACACACACTCGGTGGGTGGAGGGGCAGTGCACTGGTGGCCTGCAGGAGGGAGAGAAAGTGGCCTGCCCTGGAGCACAGAGCCAAGTGGGAAGTGAGGAGACAGGACACATCAGAGACCCTGGAGGGCCCACCATGTGCCAGAACTGGGACCGTCCATGATGGTCTTGGCCAGTGGTTCTTAGCCCTGTCAGGGTCCCCTTCCCCTCCGAGGAGATTCAGGGAAAGCTCTGGACACTCTCTCCAGAAAAACGCACATACTACATTCAAACAAACCACAGAACCGGGTGGGGGGCACCCGCCCAGGGCTCTTGGGGAGATACACTGGTTTGGGTGCAGATGGCTGGTCACCACTTGTGTGGAGCTGGGGACACACGCAGTTTGAGAGACGGGGCTCAGCTCCCTTACTGGATTGGAGAGCCAGGGTTCCCTCATCACCCTCATTAGCAAAAACGGGAGCTCACAGGGCTGGGGGGAGGGAGAGCATGGGGGCTCCAGTGCCAGAAAAGCCGTGACACTCCTCCTCCCAGGAACAAAGGGAGGACTTGCACTTAGGCGAGGGGCCCTGGGTAGCCTCCCGCCCAGCCTACCTTGGCTGGGCCTTGGAAAGGCGGCCTCCATCAGCAAGTAGGCTGGTGCCAGGCCAGCAAGGACCCAGCCCGCTCCCTGCAGGAAACTGGAAAGAGAGAGCACATGTGTCAACAGTCTAGCTGGGTGAGATCTGCACAGGGAATGAAAAGTCATGCAGGGAACATCTCACTTCCCCTTGGCCACACAGGAAACACCAAAGCTGGAACTCCTGCAGAGGAAAGCTGAAACCTAGACCTGTGCCACCAGCCTGGGCTGCTTTTGCCTTCTGCCCTCGGAAAAAGAGCTGACAGGGCAACACTGGGCCTGACCCTGGTGTCCTCTCCTAGGCCTGCACCTTCTGACAGACTGATCTGTGTCCCTGACAACTGAGGTGTAGCGCTGTCTCTTGCTTGTCATAGTGTCTAGAAGGGTAGAGAGAAGACCCCTAGTGGTGGCCACTTGCAGCATGGTGGGCATCCGGTATCAAGAAGAAAAGGTTGGCCAGATAAGCTATGCGTTTAATGTCAGAAAATGATTTTGAAAATATATTGCAAGAGAAAAATTCATAATTAATAGGGGAGAGAGAGCCAGATAACCCTGAGGAGCTTATGTTTCTAAATGTCAACGGTGGTTTAATTTTTGTGGAAAATGTCAAGCTCAATCATGGAGGTGACACACGCGTACATCTCTGAAAGAGGAAAAAAGGCTGAGGTGGGGCAGCCTGCCCAGGGCCTCTACTAAGGAGACCAAAGTCCTGGGGTGGGGAAGGGGCCTGTTCTAGGGACATCCTTTCCAAATGGCGTCCCTCTCCCTGATGGGGGTCGGGGACGGGGTGAAGGGTTGAGCTACACTCGCAAACGCGTCTCTGAATCCAAAGGAACAGACATGAAGAACTGCCTGTAGCCCAGTGGTTCTCACCTGGGGACTACTCTGCCCGCAGGAGACACTTCGCAATGTCTTGATTGTCACAACTGGGAGAGAAGGGGTGCTACTGGCATCTGATGGGTAGAGGCCACGGATGCTGCTCCACACCCTACAGTGCAGAGGACAGTCCCCACCACAGAGAACGATCAGGCTTTAGAAGCCAGCAGTGCCAGCTGGGATACCTACTGTGGACAATACAGTGTCTCCCAGCACCTAGCTGATTATTCCATGTAGGCAACTCTGACTTAAAATACAATTCGATGTCACATATTCACCCAACTCACTGCACTGTTCTTGGCCATGAGGAATATTCTCCCTCTCACCAGGGTTGTGTAAATGTCCCGACAAATGTGGTCCTCATACTGAATATGCCAGGAGCACCACTGTAGGCCCCTGAATGGGACCCGGGAATCATCTTTTTAAACGATGCTCCTTAAGCAGTATACAGAGGCTCTGCTGACTCTGGGGTGAGTGTTAGGGAGCTGGTATGAGAAGAAAACACCAAACTTTCCTGTGAGGTGACCTGGGTTTGAAACTGGTCTGTCACTGTTGTGTAACCTGTCTCTGAGTGGCCTCCTCCAAAGTGGTGCTCACGGCTGTACCTGGTGAGGTCAAGGGCCGTTGATGGGAGACAGCGCTACTGCTCTCCAATCATCTGCATTCTGTTCCCAAGTGTCCCTGAACACATGGCCTTCCTGCCAAGTACCATCCAGAACCTGCCCAAGGGAACCTGCTTGAGCCTGGGTTGCCCTGGCTTGTTCAGGAACACCCAGTGTCAAAATAAAACATGCCCGGGCACTGGCCGCCTGGTCAAGGCAGTGCCTATTCCCCTGGGGGGCCTGTCAGGTCTGACCACCGGCTGTCTGCCCAGGTACCCCACACTGCTTATTCCTCCATGTTTTCCAGATGCGTCATCACTGACAGCCTGTCGGGCAACCTGTCCGGATAGGGCTTACTCCTTTGCCTGCTGGATGCCACCAAATGTCCCAGCTGCTTCCCCAGCCTTCTCCCTTAGCCACTGCCCAAGAGACCAGGGGTTAGGGGTAACATAGATGGCATTTCTTTACAAGTGAAGGGTTTGCATTTTTCAAGAAACAAGGCTCCAATTCTACAATTTCAGCTGTCCCCAGTACCTGAACGTCTACCTATCCAGGTGACTGTGTTCAAACTCTAGGCCTAAACTTCACTGTGACCTACTTTCCATGATCTCGCTTGTCTGGCGATCACGAAATGGGTGGCATGAAGAGCCCCGGCCCACACGTGGCAGGGAGGGCCAGGTCTGAGGTCATCTCACAGGTGAACATTGTAGAGGGCCAAAACTGGGAAGGCAGTGCAGAGGACACCCACATTCGCTCAACCCAGCCACATTCCCCTCCACACTCGGAACAGATGGCTTTCTTCAACTGGGCACCAGATGAAATCCTGTGCTTGTGTTTTAGGGCTGTGATACATGAAGACTCTAAGTGCCAAAATGATAGGGATAAGTGCTGCATAAATGCTCACTCTGGGAGAGGCAGGCAGGAACAGTGCTACTGAAAACATCACGGGGGCAGAGACCACACCTGATGTGTTCACCCCTGGCACACAGGCTCTTGATAAGCATGCATTGAATGAACTTTTAAAAACATCTTGGGGCCGGCCGAGTGGCTCAGTTGGTTAAGAGCGCAAGCTCTGAGCAACAGGGTCGCCGGTTCGATTCCCTCATAGGCCAGTAAACTGCACCAGAGCTGAGCTGCCAACAGATGGCAGGATGGCTCAGCTGATGAGAGCACATGCTCCTAACAACAAGGTTGCCAGTTTGACTCTCACATGGGATGGGGGGCTACGTCCACCCACAACTAAGATTGAACACGGCACCTTGAGCTGAGCGGCCCTGAGCTGCTGACAGGTGGCCGGATGGCGACTGGACTTGGAACTGAGCTAGCTGTGCTCTTCACAACTAAGATTGAAGGACAACAACTTGGCTGTTCCCCTTCCCCAATTCCCCAATAAAATCTTAAAAAAAAAAACCCCACAAAAAAACCCATCTCAACAGGGATGGCCGAAGAAACAGGAGCCAACATTTGCAAAGGGAGTTAGGCACCACATTCCAGGACAGGATGGCTGAGGCGCAGTTGTAGAATCAGGCCAACCTGGGTGCAGACCTAGCCTCCTCCCATCCTGGCTGTGTCACCTCTGCCAGGTGCCCAACTTTCTTCAGCCTCTCTGCCAAACCCAGTGTGTGGAAAGAGAACCGCCTACCTCCCAGGGCACCACTGCAAGAACTTAGCCCAGGCTCAGGTATGCCACCAGCCAGGGACATGGTGCCTCCCTAGGGAGCGGGGCTGAAGCAAGGCTGCCACCTGCCCTGATAGGTGAATGTCTAGGCCTGTAGAGGCTCATTAGGCAGCTTTCCTACCTCCTGTCGAGCAGGCAGGTTCCTGAAGTAAGCAAAGTCCCTACAAATTCCAGCAGAAAAATTTCATGCATATGTTTGGGACAGGACCCTCATGGAAAAGCAGGTCTTTCCTTTCCAAAAATCACGGACTCCACACCCACTGAAGCTGTGATTTGGATCCCTAGGCTCATCTGCTGTATGAACAGACTGCCACACCCTCCATCTTCCCCCCACTACTGGACAGTTTGGGAGAGGGCTTGTGGCCACTGGTGCCGGCCCTGGGATGGTCGGGCTATAACCGGGGGAAGCTCTTACCTGCTTAAGTGGGGCTTCAAAGTCAGGAGTTTCCAGGGCATCCTGTATTTGGCTGTCTGGCAAGAAGTCGAGTTCAATGGCTGGGGACCCCCCTAACGCAGCCTGGTCTGCAGAGTCAGGCCAGTTAGGCTGGCCACCCAGGCCTTCAATAGCATCTGGGCTTCCCCGGTGGGCCTTGGCATCCAGGGGAGGGCCATTCACTGCTTCTCTGTGCACTGACACAGCAGAGGCTCCAAGGGACAGATTGAGCCCCCCAAGGTCTTGTTCGTGGCTCTGGCCATCTAATTCAGCTGCCTCTTCACCTGAGGGCTGCGACAGCAAAGGCAGTGCACACAAACCTCCCAGTCCTTCTCGATCCAGGCCTGGCACCTGTGTCTGATCAACAGCTGGGCCCATTTCTGAGGCTACAGGGCTGGAATCTCCAGCACTTATTGTGGGCTCTTGTATCTCATGAGCCAGAGTCAGGGAGGCTGCAGGGCCCTCCAGGACATCACCAGGGGGCTTGGCTTCCCACTCCACCTCCCCTCGGTCTCCTGTGGTCTCCCCAACAAGAGACACTCCTCTGAGCAGTGCCCCGCTATGGCCTCCAGCAGGGGCCTTCCCACTGAGAGAGGCAGGCATCCTGGTGTTCACCTTCCCACCTGGCCCAGCCACCTCCAGAGCCCTCTGTTTTGGATTAATGGTGTCTGTGCTGACAGTAGTCATAAGGGAGGAGCATCTTGGGCTGTTACAGCTCCCTTCTGCTTCCCAACCAGCCCTGCTGAGTGTCTGCACGAGGTGAGGGGGGCCCTGAGCCACAGATCTGGGCTCTGGGTCCCAAGTGGCCAGCTCCAGGATGCTGTCTCCTTCCTCCTGATCATCCCCTGCTCCCCCTTGGGCCCCTTCCTCCTGTGGGGCTCCTCGGTCTGGCTCCTCCTCTTCAGCATCACTGTTTGGTTGACGCCCTTTCTGGCCATAATCACCTGGAATCCCACCCCTCTCTGTGCTTCCACTGTCTGGCAAGTTGGTTCCTTGCTCCAACAGGTGGTCCTGGCTGGCCCTTTCTGAAGCCGAAGGCACCATCCGCCATTCTGGAGAGGCATCGTTGGAGACCTCAGGCTGAGAATTCCCCCTGCTGGACATAGGTGTTACCGGGTTTTGGACGTTGTGCTCAGAGCAGGTGCCATGTGCCTGGGTCTGGTCTCCTGGCTTCCTGGCCTCCCAGATGGTGAGCCCTGGGGACTCCTCCCATGACTGGCTTCCTGCCTGCTGTACACTGGGCTCTGGTGGTGTTTCCTGTGGAGAGAGAACGACTCAGCCTTGAGCCTTCAAGAATCAACTGCTCTGAAGATTTTTCTAGTTGTTACTGCCCCTGTACAAAGTCTCAGATGCTGTGCAGACAACCAAAGGGATCGGTATTGTAGTCCGTCCACCCTTACCCACGGGAGATACGTTCCAAGACCCCCAGTGGATGCCTGAAACTGTAAATAGTACCAAACCCTATATATACTATGTTTTATTCCCCTATACATACATACATATGATAAAGTCTAATTTTTAAATTAGGCATAGTAAGAGATTAACAATAATAAAAATAGAATATAATGTAATAAAAGTTACATGAATGGCTTTGAAGCCATTATTAAGTAAAATAAAGGTTACTTGAACACAAGCACTGTGATACTGTGACAGTCAAATCTGATAACCAAGATAGCTACTAAGTGACTAATGGGCAGGGAGCATATACAATGTGGAGACACTGGACAAAGGGATGATTCACATTCCAGGCAGGACAGTGTGAAATTTCATCACGTTATTCAGAACGATGTGCCATTTAAAACTTATGAATTGTGTATTTCTAAAATTTTCCATTTAATATTTTCAGACTATAGTTGACCACAGGTAACGGAAAGGAAAGCAAAACCATGGATAAGGGGGAACTATTGTACCAGTATGGGACAGAGCTTTGTGCCGGGGGCTGAAGAAAGAACTAGAAGCACAGGAATCCTTCCTTCTACCAGCTCCTTCTCCTACCAGCACCAGGCATTTGGAGGTCAAGGATGTAAAAATCAAGGGGGCCTGTGGATCACACCAATGTCAACTGCCTGGTGCTGGTGATGGGCTATAGTTATGTAAGATGTTACCACTGGGGGAAGCTAGGAGAGAACACAGGGACCTCTCTGTGCTGTTTTATTTTATTATTTTTTAGCTGAGCCATACTGCCACATGTTGGCAGCTCAGCAGCAGCTCAGCTCGGGCCGGGAATCGAACCGGCGATCCTGTTGCTTAGAGCTCGCACTCTTGAGCAAGCTCTTAACCAACTGAGCCACTCAGCTGGCCCCTGTGCTGTTTTATTTTTAAACTGTGGTATTATACATACAACAGGGGCTGGCTGAGTGGCTCAGTTGGTTAGGAGTTGGCTTGGGAGTGCAAGCTCTAAGCAGCAGGGCCACCAATTCCGTTCCCACATGGGCCAGTGACGCTGCACCCACTACAGCTAAGATGGTGAACAACAGCTCGACCTGGAGCTGGGCTTCCGTGAGTGGCTGGCGACGGCGTAGGCTGCAGCCCCTGCTGCAATGGGCTGCCGTGAGCTGCCATGAGCCACCGTGAGCGGCCGTCCAATGGTCGGCGACTGTCTCAGCTGCGAAGAGTGCAATGATAATAATACCAACATGAGCCAGTGAAGCGGTGTCCTCCACAACTAGACTGAAGAGCAAAAGGACAGCAACTTGTCTGTTCCCCTTCCCCAATGCTGTTCTCCTCCCCCAATTCCCCAAAAAAATCTTAAAAAAAAAACACACAGATATTAAGATTCACCATTTTAACCATTTCTGAGTGGACAACTCAGTGGCATTAAGCACATTCACATTGTTGTGCAACCATCATCCATCTCCAGACTCTTTCATCTTGTACAACTGAAGCTCTATTCCCATTAAGCACTAACTCCTCATTCTGCCTCTCTCCAGCCCTGGCAACCATTATTCTACATTGTCTCTCTGATTCTGACTATTCTAAGTTCCTCATATAATTGGAATCAAACAATATGTGGTCTTTTGTGATTGGCTTCTTTCACTTAGAATAATTTCCTCAAGGTTCATCCATGTTGTAGCATGCATCAGTATTTCCTTCCTTTTTAAGGCTGAATAATATTCCATTTTGTTTATCATTCATCCATCAGGGGACACCTGGGTCCATACTGTTTTTGAAACTTCTTATAAGTCTCTAATTATTTCATGATAAAATGTTAAAAGAGGGTAAGAGAGAAATGAAAAGTCCCTAAAGGAGGTGGGAGATGACCAGAGCAGGATCAGGGAGAGGATGGTTCCAGCTGGGACACAGAGCACCCGCCTTGGGTAGATGGCAGCTTGATCCTTCCAGGTGTTTAGGCCTAAACCTGCAGTCACTGCAGCCCAGATCTCCCAACTCTAGATGCACGTATCTGACATTTCCACCTGGAGTTTCCTGGTCACCTCCAATATGGTATAACCACACAAGCTCCTGAGCATCCTCGGAGAATCTCCCTGTCTCGACTAACAGCAACTCCATTCTTCAAGCTATTCAGGCCCCAATCAACTGAGTCAACCCAACATCTCCCTTCTTCTCACACCCGTGCCATCAGCTCTCCCTTCAAATTGGACTGCAAATAAATCCAATACCTAGGGACTAAGGTTTGCACCTGCGGGTGCCCACAGACAGCAGCTGCTCCCCTGCTTCTTTTGTAGTTATCAGTACTGGGGGGAGACACCTCCTCCACTGTCACCTCCCTGCACTGATCAGGGCCACCTTTCTAGGAGAGGGTCTGCAGTACAAATGTCAGACCACTGCAGGTTACAGCATGTCGATACAGTTTCAGTGAAGCCACTGGCAACCTGCTTGCTGAGTTACATGTTTTTTCTGCACTGATAGTGAAAATAGCACCCCTCCTTTTGAAAAAATTTTTTGCGAAATCACTGTACATTCATGCACCATTGTGAAAAATATGAAACGATCCCTTGTGCTCCTTACCCAGTTTGCCCCAACGGTAACATCTTACGTAACAAAAGTACAATATCCCAACGAGGATGTTGACATTGATAAAGTCACTGACTTATTTGGCTCTCCCATTTGCGTGTGAATTAAGTTCTATATGGTTCTCTCACTGGTGGAGGCTGTGTATCCACCAACATAGTTAAGATACTGAAAAGATGCCAACACAAAGATTCCTGGTGTCACTGTTCGTAGCCATACTCACCTCTACCCCATGTTGGCCACCCCAGCCACCATTAGTCTACCCAACATGTCTATGATTTTGTCATTTCAATACATTCTGTAAATGGAATCCTACAGCATATAACCCTTTGGGATTGGCTTTTCCTATTCCATCTAATGTATTGGAGAATCATTCAGGTGGTTATGTGTGTTACTAGTTTGTTCCTTTTTTATTACTGGGTTGTGTTCATGGTTTGGATAGACCACGATTTCGTCAACCATTCACCTGTTGAAAGATATTGTGGGTGTTCCCAATTGGGGGTGATTACAAACACAGCTGCTGGGCATACGCCCACTCCAGTTTTTAGGGGTGTGTTTTGCCAGATATTGTCACCCCCAGAGCTGACGGTGGCAAGGACAAGAGAGAACACTGTAAGACCCCCAAACCCAACTCACAAAAAAGCTTCTGAGAGGGGCCGGCTGAATGGCTCAGTTGGTTAAGAGCTCGCTCAAGAGTTTGAGCTCTGAGCAACAGTGGTTCGAGTCAGCCCGAGCTGAGCAGCCGCTGAGCTGCCAA